CGTTAGCCGTAGCAGTATTTTCAAAACTATTTTTGTCGCAAACATGTATTTCTAAGGTTGACATTCATATCCTTCAGATTGAGAAAGTTATGGGCTAATTATTTAGTAGTTTTTTTATTTTTTTTTTTTGTCAAGTTGTAGCGAAATTTAAAACATTATACAGAAGCGTTTTATATTGTATATAATATCGATGACTATAATACATAGCAATAAACGTCGTAGCAGATTTAAACAATGATTTTTCTATAAAGCAACTTGACAGTCTACATAATCTGAAACGATAAGAATCAACATGCGGGTGATCACAGGAAGATGTTGTTCTCGCCTTGGCGCCACATTGTCACCCGGTAGACAACTTTATTCAAAACCGTAAGGTATCAGATTTTCTTTAAAAATAAAAGATATCCGTTTCAACCGTAGAATAACTGTTAGCGGATAAAACACTGAATTTTTATTTTCGAGAACTACAGACCGCAATCTATAGTGGTAATATATTGGTGCAGCTTTAGATTAAAGGGGGTTGAAAGGAGCCAAAGTCGGTGGCACAGTTACTTCTGTCCCGGTAGTGGGCGTCATAGTCTCCAAAGTTTTTTTGAGAGAACCTTACCTACCTGGAAGACCAACCCCGTAGGCTCATAACCTACATTTTAATATAGGCTATAACTGGGGCATTGCAAGCACTAAAATATCGCAACAGTTATTTTTAATTCTACGTATTTTGTTATGCAAATGTGAGATATAAGGGATGAGATGAAAGACGATAAATATCGTATTAGTTATCTATAAATTCCATTTTTCTATATCTAAAGACTTATATGTGATGACAATTCGATATGGTTACTATAAATGTTTATATTACTATAACATATTTCAGTATAAATGTTTTATATAATTTGTATTGTAATTTTATTCTTCCATAATTATAATCACTTTAATTAATTTAAACAATTGAATTGGTGAGTTTTATGAGATTTGAAATTATATTATAATAGGTACACTATATTTTGTGTATTAGTTGATGTACCTACCTACCTACGCGTTAGTTATACGTATATTAACATAATTTCGAATGTAAGCATCACCAAAGTTAATATATTATCATGCCAACTCTTCTTAATTTACCCGTTATTTTATTATTGTAATGATTATGCTAATTTATTATTAAAATATCGCGGTATTGATTATCGTTTGGGGTATAAACAACATTCCCGATTTGATCGTTTAATTACTTAGTCAGATAAATCAGATAAATTGATTGCTTAGTCAGTAAAATAATTATCCGAGTTAATTACTAATAAATCATTAAATAAGGTTGAGTACCTACCGAGAAGACAACGAAAACATGTGTACCTACCTACCAAAATGATTTTCGTATGAACTCATAATCGCTACCCACAGTACCTATACGTATAGGTATTATTATAATATACCAGCTATGATAAGTGCACATCCCCGTTATTTATGATATCACGACGTCTTGGAAGATTATATTATTATAAGCGTTAAACATATAGAATACCTAGGTACTTAGATAAGAGCAGATACACTCGGGTGGTAAATAATGCGAGGGCGGGCAATCGTTTGGAGGGGTTACCGCAGTTACCGGTTTGCCGGCGGTGATGACAATAAGAGTAACAGTTATAGTACACAATCATAGGTATATACCATACTAAAGTAATAACAATATGATGTGTACGGTTGTAATGTACACAGTACATAGGTATATTGTACATTATAGCGGAACGGAAGGACTACCGTTTTTCTCGTTGTGAGGGGTTTTTTTTAATTTTTTTTTTAATGTAAACGTTTCAGTGGGTTTGGCTTGACTTCTCATTGGTCGATCGAGGTCGGCCCCGGCAACGCGAACCCGCCGGCACAGGACTGCCTAACAAGCCAGCAGCCGGCGCCCGGCAGTGACTGTTTGCTACTCGACCCCAGTCGTTGCTCGTCCGTCTCGCACGTTCTCTCATCTTCTCGTTCATCAAACTCTTCGTTATTACCGTTTAGTGTAGGTACCGCCTAGGTATTATACTACTATATACAACCTACAGCTAACTTTCGGTTATAGTAGCTGTACACAAAGTGAACGCAAAAGAGAATTCAGTCAAAAGTGTTCCGACATGGTCGCTATGTTGTAAGTATAAAATGTATACATTATAATAACATGACCAAACGACAAAATTTTGAATTCAAGTAAAAACAACATTGACAATAAACCAAATATTGAATATATTAAAGGATTTGAACAAATGTATTAATCTCTCGGTTTTGTTTTTTTCTCTATAATTAACTTGATCCGAGTAAAATGCATTCTGTGGAACTAAATATTATATTATATTTTCTACCTTATTAGAAATGTAGTAAAAACGTTTTCAATGTAAGCTGTAACGATATAATAAAGAAATAACTACTAATAAAGAATTCTCGTGATATATTATGCACACAATTATTGCTTTAAATTCAGATTTTCCGAAAAAATTGTCTTTACAAATCCTCACAATAAATAGAGGTAGGTAGGTATAATTTCCTCGTAAATTTTGTCGTGTGTGTCTTTTAATTGTATATAAAATATACCGTCGCTAGTCTGGCACAATTAAGAGATGTCTCGACAGGCCCAACACGAAGGGGTAAATATAATATATTATAAATTATAATTGAAGGATTTAAACTCATTTGAACATATTTTCGTAGCTTAATAAGAACTCAAAGAGAATTAAAAATAGTAGTTTAACTGAAATGCTATGAATTACTAATTGTAGCTACCTATATTCTGATGTTAAACATCAATACAATTTGTGGTCCATTAAACTAAAGTAATACTTTTTAAAACTCAAAACTCTAAAATTATAAATAGTATTGTTAACATGCATTACTTATGTTGTTGACGTTTATCAATCAATCAAAAAAAATTGACTAAACATGTTGACTGATCCATAATAATTAGTTTTGACATTTTTATTTATGGTTTTTGTATTTATTAGCATTTTAAAGTTTATGTAATAGCGGAAGATCTGTTGAGCGCACTGATATAAAAGCTTATCCAAAAAATAATAATCGTTAGGTAATCAAGGTTATTTAAATCAAATACAAAATTCCAAAGTAGGTAAAACGCATACAAATTTCACTTAGAGCTTAACTTAATAAAAGCATATTATTTTATGCCCAATTTGTATTTTAACTATAAAAAATGTGGAACTTTTTTTTAACTATTAGTAATATATATATAATAGTTGTAATAGTCTATGGCGTCTATTGTCGGCCGTTCACTTGTCTGTACCTACGTAAACTTATTTTTGTGATTTTGATAACTTCGTTTTAGTAGATGTTACATGTAGTAGACGTGCTGCACATCCGTAACCAAAAATATACCTGCTTGTATTAAATAGTTAACATTACTCGAATAGTCGTCCTTCTTATAATAACATAGTATTACTTACTATCTACACTTAAAACACTCCTAAAAACCGACGAATTAAATATACATAACTTTTAAATAAACGGTAAAACTCACCGGGGACTAGGAAAAAAACAATTGCCTACCAATCTCTATTAGTTGGACAATTGTAGGTCATTAATTTCTATTAGTTTTCATATAAATTCAGCTTGTAGACTAATTTAACGCATTTAATATTTTATACTAAAACTTCCGTAAAACTAACAAATTAAAAACCTATATCATTGTCTCAATAGTCAATGGTTGGGTTATCATAAAAAATATTTTAAAATTTTTTAACGTATCGGTAGATACTCTATATGTTTTATAGTGATTCAAATGAGATACGCATTTCCACTTAAAATTTTCTTAAAAGTTGCTATTTTGTAATTTTGTTTGTGTTATTTTACAATATTATAAAATAACTTAATATTTTAGTATTTCCCAGAGCTTAAACAACTTTTTAGACTTAGTGGTAACGTCTATATTTAATTAACATTTTAAACTAAGATTAATTGCAATACAAATTTGATTGGTCGTTAACCAGTTTAAGATAATTACTTTTAAAGTTTAATGTATATGTATATGTATAAGTTACCAATAGTTTCAGAAGTTAATCAATGTCTGGAGAATACTAAGAAAGAAAAAATCGAAAATTGTATATTATTGTAAAATAGCATAAAAGAAAAGAAAAACTACAAAATTGCAATTATTTTAAGAGAAAATCAGTGTCTTATCCTTTATTAAATCACCCTGTATTATTTTTATAACAAATTTTGAGAATAGTGGGCATTATTTACAGCAGCACTGATTATTATAATTGTTGTGAAACAAAAATTGTATTATTTAGTTTAAATCGACTAATTTTTATCAATGAACTAATGAACATTAATACATTTTTTGTTTAGCAAACAAGAATACCATGATCATAGTATGAGTAATGAATACAGTTACTCTCGTGGTCGACCACCGACAGAATCTATTTCTCGCATCGCCGACTGGGATATCAACGACTCAATTATACCAAATGTAAAGTACCATATTATATACGTTTTAATAATCATATTTCATAACGCTGCTTAATTCGGATTAATTAGGGTTTTTATACTGCCTGTAACTTTTAAGTATTGAGTATATATTCAATGTATACAATATATACTCAATGCTGTAAGCTATTCGGTTCATTATCTATTTTTTGTCACAATAAAAATCTACTGTTATTATTATTGTACACGCTCGTTTTAACTTCTTATTGTATTGTGAACAACAATAATTTATTATTACCTATAAAATACAGTATACATTATTATATATTATTAGGTAATGTACCTACTTATTATAGAAACCAATAAACGATTGTTACTGTCAATTAATTTAATTGGAAACCAAAAAGTTAAACTTTTTATCTTAGTCAATTTTTTACCAAGAAAAAAAAATCGTTAACATTAATTAATTAATTTATAATGATAAAAGTAGAGCTTTAGGAAAAATTTTAAAATATAAGGATACATGTTTAGTATGTTAAAACTTACTAAAAGAAAATCTTAGCAAATTTGTATGATAATTTTTTTAAAAAATAGGTATATTTTTTATGTATAATTATTTTTCTCAGTTCAGGCAAAATAATTTGGCTGATAGCTTATTTTTACAAAAATATATTATTATCTTATATGCTATCTTACGACATACATCATCCGTTTTTCCAATAAAACTAATAATTTTTGAAATGTTTTCTACTATCCTTAACACATTTATACAATCTGCATTTTTTTAATGCAACAAATGCAATAATTAAAAGTTTTTGAATTGAGAAGATTACCCAGCGGCACGAATTCTTAACTTAAATTTGTTTCGTATTTGTTATTTATAAGATTCGGTTTATGCGAGATGACGACTGAGGTTAGAGGGTTTTGATGGTGGATATTTTTTATATTTAGCTTAATATTTAAACTATATACTTATGTAATTAATAAGAAATTCTATCCACAATTATAACGCTTATACACGGATATAAATTAAATATAATCGCGACAGTACCGACTTTTACAAATTTTCTTTTTTTAATCAAAATAAATAATATAAAGTAAAAAACTATATTAACGGAAATAAAGGAACTGGAAATTGCGTGTAGGTATAAAACAAAATATACATTAATAAAACATTCTATGAAAGAATATATAACAGTCAAATGCTTAGCTATATTAAAAAATATATTGTATTATTTTAAAGGTGAGCAGTTTCAATCACTGGGAAGAATGGGCTGATGGCCATTGTCGCCTGGTGTACCCGTCGAATTGTGAGGAGGCCAAGAGACACGCTTCTGGATGGGCAATGAGGAATACAAACAACCATAATGTGCACATCTTGAAGAAATCTTGTCTAGGTGTCCTCCTGTGTTCTAGAAGGTGCGTACTACCAAATGGCGATACAGTCCACCTAAGACCAGCCATATGCGACAAGGCCAGGAAAAAGCAACAAGGTATGTTTCATACATTTAAAAACAATAAACATTTTAACTCATAATATTATTGTGAACTGGCAAACATATTAAAACAATTAATCTAAACAGGTTAGCTCAGACAACAAAGATTTTTTTATTATTTTTAAAAACAATATAAAAATATTTCTTATACAAGTACTCTTACATTAAAAATAAACCACACCAATGGACTCGTCCGATTTCCGCCAAATTTTTTTTTGAAAAATCATATTTCATAACGCTGCTTAATTCGGATTAATTAGGGTTTTTATACTGCCTGTAACTTTTAAGTATTGAGTATATATTCAATGTATACAATATATACTCAATGCTGTAAGCTATTCGGTTCATTATCTATTTTTTGTCACAATAAAAATCTACTGTTATTATTATTGTACACGCTCGTTTTAACTTCTTATTGTATTGTGAACAACAATAATTTATTATTACCTATAAAATACAGTATACATTATTATATATTATTAGGTAATGTACCTACTTATTATAGAAACCAATAAACGATTGTTACTGTCAATTAATTTAATTGGAAACCAAAAAGTTAAACTTTTTATCTTAGTCAATTTTTTACCAAGAAAAAAAAATCGTTAACATTTATTAATTTATTTATAATGATAAAAGTATAGCTTTAGGAAAATTTTTAAATATAAGGATACATGTTTAGTATGTTAAAACTTACTAAAAGAAAATCTTAGCAAATTTGTATGGTAATTTTTTTAAAAAATAGGTATATTTTTTAGGTATAATTACTTTTCTCAGTTCAGGCAAAATCATTTGGCTGATAGCATATTTTTACAAAAATATATTATTATCTTTTATGCTATCTTAAGACATACATCATCCGTTTTTCTAATAAAACTAATAATTTTTGAAATGTTTTCTACTATCCTTAACACATTTATACAATCTGCATTTTTTTAATGCAACAAATGCAATAATTAAAAGTTTTTGAATTGAGAAGATTACCCAGCGGCATGAATTCTTAACTTAAATTTGTTTCGTATTTGTTATTTATAAGATTCGGTTTATGCGAGATGACGACTGAGGTTAGAGGGTTTTGATGGTGGATATTTTTTGTTTGTATTTTTTATATTTAGCTTAATATTTAAACTATATACTTATGTAATTAATAAGAAATTCTATCCACAATTATAACGCTTATACACGGATATAAATTATATATAATCGCGACAGTACCGACTTTTACAAATTTTCTTTTTTTAATCAAAATAAATAATATAAAGTAAAAAACTATATTAACGGAAATAAAGGAACTGGAAATTGCGTGTAGGTATAAAACAAAATATACATTAATAAAACATTCTATGAAAGAATATATAACAGTCAAATGCTTAGCTATATTAAAAAATATATTGTATTATTTTAAAGGTGAGCAGTTTCAATCACTGGGAAGAATGGGCTGATGGCCATTGTCGCCTGGTGTACCCGTCGAATTGTGAGGAGGCCAAGAGACACGCTTCTGGATGGGCAATGAGGAATACAAACAACCATAATGTGCACATCTTGAAGAAATCTTGTCTAGGTGTCCTCCTGTGTTCTAGAAGGTGCGTACTACCAAATGGCGATACAGTCCACCTAAGACCAGCCATATGCGACAAGGCCAGGAAAAAGCAACAAGGTATGTTTCATACATTTAAAAACAATAAACATTTTAACTCATAATATTACAAAAATATACATTAATAAAACATTCTATGAAAGAATATATAACAGTCAAATGCTTAGCTATATTAAAAAATATATTGTATTATTTTAAAGGTGAGCAGTTTCAATCACTGGGAAGAATGGGCTGATGGCCATTGTCGCCTGGTGTACCCGTCGAATTGTGAGGAGGCCAAGAGACACGCTTCTGGATGGGCAATGAGGAATACAAACAACCATAATGTGCACATCTTGAAGAAATCTTGTCTAGGTGTCCTCCTGTGTTCTAGAAGGTGCGTACTACCAAATGGCGATACAGTCCACCTAAGACCAGCCATATGCGACAAGGCCAGGAAAAAGCAACAAGGTATGTTTCATACATTTAAAAACAATAAACATTTTAACTCATAATATTACAAAAATATACACTAATAAAACATTCTATGAAAGAATATATAACAGTCAAATGCTTAGCTATATTAAAAAATATATTGTATTATTTTAAAGGTGAGCAGTTTCAATCACTGGGAAGAATGGGCTGATGGCCATTGTCGCCTGGTGTACCCGTCGAATTGTGAGGAGGCCAAGATACACGCTTCTGGATGGGCAATGAGGAATACAAACAACCATAATGTGCACATCTTGAAGAAATCTTGTCTAGGTGTCCTCCTGTGTTCTAGAAGGTGCGTACTACCAAATGGCGATACAGTCCACCTAAGACCAGCCATATGCGACAAGGCCAGGAAAAAGCAACAAGGTATGTTTCATACATTTAAAAACAATAAACATTTTAACTCATAATATTACAAAAATATACATTAATAAAACATTCTATGAAAGAATATATAACAGTCAAATGCTTAGCTATATTAAAAAATATATTGTATTATTTTAAAGGTGAGCAGTTTCAATCAATGGGAAGAATGGGCTGATGGCCATTGTCACCTGGTGTACCCGTCGAATTGTGAGGAGGCCAAGAGACACGCTTCTGGATGGGCAATGAGGAATACAAACAACCATAATGTGCACATCTTGAAGAAATCTTGTCTAGGTGTCCTCCTGTGTTCTAGAAGGTGCGTACTACCAAATGGCGATACAGTCCACCTAAGACCAGCCATATGCGACAAGGCCAGGAAAAAGCAACAAGGTATGTTTCATACATTTAAAAACAATAAACATTTTAACTCATAATATTACAAAAATATACACTAATAAAACATTCTATGAAAGAATATATAACAGTCAAATGCTTAGCTATATTAAAAAATATATTGTATTATTTTAAAGGTGAGCAGTTTCAATCACTGGGAAGAATGGGCTGATGGCCATTGTCGCCTGGTGTACCCGTCGAATTGTGAGGAGGCCAAGAGACACGCTTCTGGATGGGCAATGAGGAATACAAACAACCATAATGTGCACATCTTGAAGAAATCTTGTCTAGGTGTCCTCCTGTGTTCTAGAAGGTGCGTACTACCAAATGGCGATACAGTCCACCTAAGACCAGCCATATGCGACAAGGCCAGGAAAAAGCAACAAGGTATGTTTCATACATTTAAAAACAATAAACATTTTAACTCATAATATTACAAAAATATACATTAATAAAACATTCTATGAAAGAATATATAACAGTCAAATGCTTAGCTATATTAAAAAATATATTGTATTATTTTAAAGGTGAGCAGTTTCAATCACTGGGAAGAATGGGCTGATGGCCATTGTCGCCTGGTGTACCCGTCGAATTGTGAGGAGGCCAAGAGACACGCTTCTGGATGGGCAATGAGGAATACAAACAACCATAATGTGCACATCTTGAAGAAATCTTGTCTAGGTGTCCTCCTGTGTTCTAGAAGGTGCGTACTACCAAATG